ACGGCAGTGCTGGCCCAGTGGGGGTAGCCATCGACCTCTAGTCTTAGGAGGTTCCAGCCTACTTTAGCCGTGATCACCAGGAAGAATGTCGAGCACAAGGGGAAAGTGCCGAAGCTGGAGAGCACGTGTCGGGCCCCGGGAAGCGATCCTCGTTCGCCACTGTTCCGATACTTCCCCGGGTGCTCGAAATCACTTCTGGGACGCGGTCCTGAAGTACCGAGGGAAGCAACAGAACCCCAGTCGCCCGTGCTTCACTGGCCAGGGCCTGGGTTATCCCCACCCCATCTAAGAAGTGCCTGCGGCTTCCCCACTGGGGGCCTGCCGCCGATCTCCAGCTACGCGCAGACGGGGGGGTGGGGAGAGGGGCGAGGGCTTCTGAGAAGCACCCCTGCTTCTTAGACGGCGCGGGCCTTGTCCATAGATGTAAGACCGGCGCCTTTGAAGAAGCAGCCTCCCTCTGCGAAGCCCTCCCCCTCCCTCCACCCCCCCTCTGTGCGCGCCGCCGAGATCTACTGGCGACGTATCGCATCAGCGTACACTGTCGGAGCTCGGCGCAGATCTCGTGGATCTGCGCCCGTCCCCCCTCTCCCTGGCGCGCTTCGCGCCCGCCACGGGCTGGGGTGGTGTTGCACCTGTCCAAGAGATCCGCGCCGAGCTCCGAAAGTTTGTGCCCATGTGGCGTTCTTCCTCTGAGGCTCGCTCGCCCGCAGACGACTGTTCTGTCGCCGGTCTATCAGGGGGGCAGCACCGATCCAAGAGATCCGCGCAGAGGTCCGAGAGTTTGTGCCCATGTGGCGTTCTTCCTGTGAGGCTCGTTCGCCCGCAGACTGTTCGATCGCCGGTCTATCAGGGGGGGCAGCACCGATCCAAGAAATCCACGCAGAGGTCCGAACGTTTGTGCTTCTATTGTGTTCTTCATGTGATGCCCGTTTACCCTCAGGCTGTTCCATCATCGATCGGTCATCGATGCATCGCCCACTCCAAGTCAATGCTTCCCCCCCTTGGCCACTCCCCTTCGATCGTTCCCCTCAGGAGGCAGAGGGGAGGGCGAGGAGGAGGACGAGGAGGGAAGGACGAGGGGAGGAGGGGGAGGGGAGGACGAGGAAGTGGAGGAGGAGAGGCGGGGAGGCCGAGGAGGAGAGGAGGAGGAGGAGGAGGAGGAAAAGAGTCGGGCCCACGGGCCATCGAGAATGAATCTGGGGCGAGACACGGGCCCCAGGGAAGTGGTTGGGTGCTTTGGGGCCGCGGGTTGAGAGAAATTAACGCAGCGAAGGACCCAACCATATGCAGTTGTGACGACCGCAATTGTGAATACCATCTTCGCCCGCGCTCCCTATGTGGCCACGAACCGCGTGAGGGGCGTGCCGAAATGCGCGGCGGGGTACAGAACGCGAACGAAGACGATAGGTCTGTGTGCGAGAGACTGAGAGCGGGCGAGTCTGAGCGCGAGTGAGTCTGGTTGTAAATGAGTCTGCGCGCGCGTGAGTCTACGTGCATAAATGTCGACGCCCATGTCGGCACGCCCCTCACAAGGGTCGCGCCCGTTTCCTTCCCGTTCTTTTTCTCCTTTCTTGCCCGCGCATGCCAATGTCCAAGGCTGCGGGTACGGCGCCGCACGGAGTCCCCGCGACGCACGCGGGTCGCCCCGAAGGGGTCGCGGCGACGCTCGCGGGTCCGCTGCGCGGAGCAGAGAGAGCTAGCTGCCTGGCTGATAGCGGGCAAAGCTTTGGCCGTTGGGCAGACCGACGATGGGGGCGAGCGAGGGTCCCAGCGACGCGCGCGGGTCGTCCGCGGCGCAAAGCCAAACAGTCAGGCCGTCGATGGACGGCGAGGTTCGGGCGGGCCTCTCCTCAGGTCAAGCAGCTGTTTCCGCGAGCCCTTTGGGAGCCCTGCCGGGAAGAACTCCATGCGCGGCGTCCGCATGAGCAGGAGGTCCTCGCGGCGCGTGGCGCGCGAAAGCAGTATTTCGAGCTCCGGCCACCAGTCGTCGTCCTCCTTGTTGCCGTTCCCAACCTCGTGGCGGCCGCAGTCGAGGATCACGCCTGGGCGATGCCGGTCGAGGGAGCAGCGCGCCCGACAGCCGACGGCCCAGGGCGAGAGTCCACAGGACCAAGAGAAGGTCTGACCGCCATGCGAAGCTTGCCACTGGCGCCTTCGGTGGAGCTCATATGGGGCCACGATCCTCTTGAGGGGTGTGCCGAAATGGCCCGAGGCCGCCGTGCGAACATTGCCACTAGGGTTTCTTGGGGCCACGATCCTCGTGAAGCGTGCGCCGACATCGCCCGAGGCCGACATGCGAACCCTGCCACTGGCGCCTGCGGTGGAGCTCTTATGGGGCCACGATCCTTGCGAGGGGTGTGCCGACATGGCCCGAGGCCGCCATGCGAACCTTGCCACTGGCGCCTTCGGTGGAACTGATTTGGGGCCATGATCCTCGTCAGTGGTGTGCCGAAATGGCCCGAAGCCGCCATGCGAACCCTGCCAGTAGGGCCTTCGGTGG